TAGTTTGGCACACGGGCTTAATTGTGCTGTGGTTTGTGAAATCTTCCCAGGTAAGGAATAGAACCCATGTCCCTGCATTGGCAGGAGGATTCTCATCCACTGAACCACTAGAAAATTGCTTAATTTCTCTTTCTAATGGCACATTATTATTGTATAGAATGACAACTGATTTTTGTGTATTGATTTTTGTACCTGGCAGCGTTACTGAGTTCATTTGTCCTAATTTTTTTTTGGTGGCTTCATATGGAAAACTAGAATACAGATATCCCACTGTTTCTACTACATCCAAGTCTTTCACAGCACCCAAGGCATAGTGGCCCCCATTATAATCTTCCCACTGTGCCTCTTGATAACAGGTGGACTCCTATAAGAGTGATTAGCATCACCACTTTGGGTGAACTGAATCTGGTTAAGGCTTGGCCTCTGTAATGAAGTTTGATGCCCTCTTTGTTTTTAAGCATGGTTTTGATGTAGGTCTTTTGAAAAGTAGTTTACTTTCCAGTCATTTCAAGTGTATAAAAAAGTGTATGTAGCAGTACAAAATACTTCCATTTGCCATGTCACATAAAATACCCTAGCGCGCTTTACCCCATACTTGGATACCCTACCAGGAAAGCAGCACAGAAACCCCCAAAGAGGACATTTCTTGGCTCCACTTTATAATCGTATCCATAGTCCTCTTCAACCTTCACCCTTGCCTCAGTGATATGAAAGTCTTTTCCCATGGTGATTCAGTTTTCCTTTTCTGCAACTACTGCTGACACGTTCTCTCCTTTTCAAAACCTTTGCGGATTTAAAGCACACAGGATGATTAGGAACTGTGTGGCCTTTTGTCTATGACTTATTTGACTTAATGTCTTCAATGTTCAACCAGGTGTATCATAACTGCTTCATTCATTTTTTTTATTGCAGTTAAAAATACATAACATTGAGCATTTAAACCATTTCAGTAGCATTAACTACACTCTATAGCATTAACTCAGAGAAGGCAATGGCACCCCACTCCAGTACTCTTGCCTGGAAAATCCCATGAATGGAGGAGCCTGGTAGGCTGCAGTCCATGGGGTCGCTAAGAGTCAGACACGACTGAGCGACTTCACTTTCACTTTTCACTTTCATGCACTGGAGAAGGAAATGGCAACCCACTCCAGTGTTCTTGTGTGGAGAATCCCAGGGACGGGGGAGTGCCGGGGTCTAGCCTCAGCAGGATCCAGGGGGTACCCTCAGGATGAACGGCGTCGGAGAGAGAGAGAGAAGACATGTGAGACCAGCCTTGATAGGGCCAAGTCTGCGAGGGAGGGAGGGAGGGAGAGAGAAGAGAGAGAGAGAGAGAGAGAGAGAGAGAGAGAATGACCAGACGGGGTTTGCAGAGTCTGGCAGAGTCTGGCAAAGCTTTATTTTTTACCATAGCTTTTATACCCTAAGTTAGTACATTTCTAAGGGGAAGATAGTTTAACATTACGTCAGCTTGTCCTTCACAAAACCAGGGTGTTTTCTGCATACTTCTTTGTTTATGAGGGTCTTGTACATTATCTTCTGGCCTTGGGGCCTATAAACATTTTATGGAGGTCGGGTGAATGTAAACTTATTTTCTGTTTCTCTGGTGACCTTAACTGAAAGGTAGCAGTCTCATAGGGCAACAGTACAGAGTAGACGTATAACCTTGTTAACACAAAAATTAACCCTTCTGCAGAAGTTGTCAGTTGCGTTTGTCGAAGAAGTTTACCCCACACAGACTCTGCGGCTTTGGTGAGGCAGCTTCTGCCTAGCACTCCTGGCTGACAATTAACAACCATCTCATTGTTACCACACTAGGACTAAGTTCTTATTTCTCTAGATCTTTAACTATATTAACAATGGTTTCTATAACACAACCTTAGCACATTAAAGGCAAAAATATAGCAAACATAAACACAGTAAGCAAATCACAACCCAATAACCACCTATAGAACAATTTTTCTTATGTTTTCTAATAGGACTCCTTTACCCCTTAAAAAGGCTCTATGTCTATTAGGGCTTTTATATAATCAGGTTTGTTATGCTATTTTATGATTAGGATATTATAAGCAATCATGCATATTAGTACCAAGCGCATAAATGCATTTGGCTAACAAACTACCAGCAAAGGAGTTTAAATTAAAACACTCCTTTCACCCTGAATAATCTCATAAAATACCACAACCTGGGAAACTTATTGATTAAAGTTCTAAATTGATTCTTATTTGAGAAGAGATCGGGGAAGGCCTTCCTGCCTGTGTCCGTCCATTGAGGCAGGCATCAGAAAGACAGATATCATCTTTAAGGTGAGAGCCGGGGCAGCTTTGGGGCAGCTTTTCGGAATCCCTGAAAACCTGATCCGCCTTGCCCGTCAGGCTTTCTCCCCATGACCTTGTCATGGGTGGGATCTCGTGAGCTAGCCTTTTTGGAATCCCTGAAAACCTGATCCGCCTTGCCCATCAGGCTTTCTCCCTCATGACCTTGTCATGGGTGGGATCTCGTGTGCTGGATCCTGGCAGGGGAGCCTGGTGGGCTGCCATCTATGGGGTCGCACAGAGTCAGACACAATTGATGTGACTTAGCAGCAGCGGCAGCATAGCATTAACTACGGTCTATAGCATTAATTATAGTCACATTGTTGTACACATATTCTGACCATCCATCTCCACAACTTATTCATTTGCCCATGCGGAACTATTCAATTTCTCTACATTTTTGCCAACATTTGTTATTTTTAGTTTTCTTGGTTGTAGGCCTTCTTGTGTTGGAGGGCACAGTATTATGGTGTTAACCTGCATTTACATCATGGCTAATGATGTTTAACATCTTTTCACGTGTTTGTTGACCCTTTGTATGTCTTATATGCTGCTACTGCTAAGTCACTTCAGTCGTGTCCGACTCTGTGCGACCCCATCCCTGGGATTCTCCAGGCAAGAACACTGGAGTGGGTTGCCATGTCTCTCTCCCATGCATAAAAGTGAAAAGTGAAAGTGAAGTCGCTCAGTCGTGTCTGACTCTTCGCGACCCCATGGACTGCAGGCTACCAGGCTCCTCCGTCCATGGGATTTTCCAGGCAAGAGTACTGGAGTGGGGTGCCATTGCCTTCTCCGGTATGTCTTATATGGCGAAGGGTCTATTCAAGTCCCATTTCCATTTAAAAACCTGGGTTGTTTGCAGGGCCTTGCAGCGCCCCCTGGGCCAAGCCAGGTAAGCCAGATGGTCCTCTTGGTGGCACTGGTCTCTGTTAGTCCAGCCTGTGGTGGTCTCCGTGCTGAGGGCGGAAGGAGTTCAGGCACCCGGGCGTCACCAGCGGCGTTGCAGGGATGCAGCTTCCTCCCCGGGGCTTGCAGGAGAGGGGACTCGAGGCCTCAGGCTCCCCGGCCCCCCAGTGCGGGGAATCTGCGGCTCCACGTGGACGCCGTCTCAGTGAGGCGGGATTTGCTCACCTGGGCGCAGCAGCCACGGCCCGCTTGCCTCTCCGGGTAGTGGACGTCAGGGCGGAGCGCACCTGGCTTGGCGCATTGGCTGCGGTTCACCTGGGCGCTGCAGCGACGCCCACACGCCGCTTCCAGAAGTTTGCGTCCGGGCGGAGGGCCCTTGGCATGGGTCAGCATCGGAGGGCACCTGGCGCGCGTCTCCTCCCAGCTCCTCGCCGTGGGTCTCTGGAGCCAGCGTGGGGTGGCCGGGAGCGCCCCTTTAGTGGGCTCCTGGATCCCAAATCAGCGTCCGTGCGCAGAGCGGAGGGGACCAGACCACAGGTAAGGGGACTTGGGCTCCGTGGTGGTGGGTGGAGGGAACCACTTGCACCCTCCCTGTTGGCACAGTCCCGGAGCCCCCAAACCTGGCGGTCGCGGAAGGGGCTCGCCTTTGGGATGAAGGCTTTGAGGACATTCCTAAACCTACCCAATCTCATAAAGCTCATTCTTGCATGGTTTTACCAAGCAGCCTAGTGGCCCCAGCGCGGTCTCTGCAAGCAGAACCTGAGAGGGGCCATTGCTCTGAGAGAGTCGCCTTTGGCCTTTGCAGAGTCCGAGGAATTTATTCTTTCTTGGTGATTTCACCTGCTGGGACCCCACAGCCCCCACTCTGGACGGCTGGCCCAGCCCTACTTCCTGCACTTTTGCAGTCCTGCTGGCCCTTGGCCGCCTGCTGGGATGGGAAAGGGAAGGGTTTCAGAATTGCACCTTAGCAGGGCGCGATTTAAAAAACCTGGTGGCTACCCAGGGAAGAGAAGGGAAGAGGGTTCCTTGCTGCTTTTTCTTTGTGAAATCAGTGGCTGTCCCGGTGAGCGGGGCCTATCCCAAGACCTGTCCCACCAGATTCCCTGGAGCACGGAGCGCCTCATTCCACCCTGAACTCCCTCGGGGTGGCTGAAGGTCAACAGCTATAACAGCACAGGTTTCAGTCTCTGTAGAGGGAGAGTCCCTCAGTCGTGTCTGAGCCATTCCCTTCTCCAGGGCATCTTCCCAACCCAGGGTTTAAACCCAGGTCTCCCGCACTGCAGGTAGATTCTTTACTAGCTGAGCCACAAGGGAAGCCCAAGAATACTGGAGTGGTTAGCCTATCCCTTCTCCAGCAGATCTTCCTGTTCCAGGAATGGAACCATAGTCTCCTGCATCGCAGGCAGTTTCTTTACCAGCTGAACTATCAGGGAAGCCCAGTCTCTGTAGAGGCAGATGGCAAATGCCTTTGTTGTTCAATCATTGGCAATGCTCTCGTAAGTACCAATTTATAGTTGACAGTGGGATACTCTTGTTTGTGGAAATCCAGCCCAGCGCTGTCTCTTGATGTGTGAAAATTTCCCAGACTAGGTCCCCAGACAAATCCTGCAGGGCCAGGGGTTCTTTCCTTCATTGTACTTGTTTGACTGACTAAAAACCAGCAATGACATATTTTTCTTTAAATTTGATCTATCATCCAGGTCTTGGAGTAATATTTTCCCTCCCCCTGAATAGGCTTGGGTTCCAGGAATGAATTATAGTTAGTTGTCCATGTTTTTACAGATGAGGAAACTGAGGCCCAGAGAGGGTGGAGTACTGTCCAAGGGAGAATGGAACATCCTTCCAGGAACCCTGGCTCCTTGGTTTCTAATGAGCTTCCTACACAGCATGGTCATTAAATGGCAAGTGTTGACATTGAGGATAAACTATTGGTGAAAACATAAATGACTTTTTAAAAGAATGTGCCTACCAGCTGTCCATCTTATGGAGAATTTCCACTGCATCTGCAATCCTGGCAGAGTGCTGTGCACAGGATAGATGCCTCACAGTTTTTATTGGATAAGTTCAATTTCATATTATTATATCCATAGTGTCAGCAACACTATGAGGTATATTAGAACAGTGGTCTTCACAGTTGGTATTTCACAGATAAGTACAGAAAATTTTTTATTAGGACTGTAACAGAATTGCTAATTTTTTAGTTTATCCCACAAGGATATTTTTTTAAAAATGAAACAAATCTCTTCTATCATCTTCAAGGTGTTGGAGGTCTGTTGAGGACCCCATGCAAGGGAGGTTCTATCTCTTGGGACACCTCTGCTTCAGCATCTCCCTAAGCCAGCAACCTGGGTGAGCTGAGTACACTTGAAGTTCCTTCCTTGAGTTCAGTGGTCCCCAACCTTCTTGGCACCAGGGACCAGTTTTTTGGAAGATAATTTTTTTATGGACAGGGGTGGGGGATGCTTTTGGGATGATTCAAGTGCATAACATTTAATGTGCCCTTTATTTCTGTTATTATTATATCAGCTCCACCTCAGATCATCAGATAATAGATCCTGGCGGTTAGGAGCCCCTGCTTTAGTTCTCTCTTTCATCTTCTATGCAGTTCCAGCCTGCTTACTCTTCCTCTTCCACCTAGAGAACTCTGCTGGGCTTTCCTGAATATGACTACAAGTCTCCTTCCCTCACTTTCTTTCCTGATCCTGAGTCCCTTCTCTTAACTGGGTTTTCTTGTTCTCCATTTAGACACCTTTGCCCCACGTGGTGCTGGTGGTAAAGAACCTACCTTCCAATGCAGGAGACAGAAGAGTTTGATCCCTGGGTTGGGAAGATCACCTCAGGGAGGGCATGGCAACCCTCTCCAGTATTCTTGCCTGGAGAATCCAGCAGACCGAGGAGCCTGGTGGCCTACAGTCCATAGGGTGACCAAGGGTCAGACACTGAAGTGGCTCGGCTCGGCGCACAGAGGGCACTCCTCTGTAGACTCAACGATTGCTTTGGCTCTGTGGAGCCCCTTGTATTTCCACATGTATCTCAGAGTCAGCTTGTGTATTTCTCCCTAAAGGCTGTTTGTAATTCATATTGAATCTTCGTTTCAGATTGAAGCTGCATTACATGAAAGTGCTATCCTAGGTCTTTCCATATCTATGGAATATCTTTACATTTATGTAGGATTTTTTTCAGCAGTGATGTATAATTTCCAGTGGGCCAGTCTTGGCATCCTCATTAAATCAATTCCAAAGTATCTTACTAATGTTGACATCTTTGAAAGGGAATTGCTTTTTCAGATTATTAATTGCTATTGTATGCAAATAAAACCATGTTATCACTTACTTTTATCAGTTTGGACAACTTGATAGTTCACTTAAACTTTTGGTGAGAGTCCACATTATTAGATTGCTTAGCTTGTTCTTGTTTTGGCTATTGAGAGCTGCTTCCATTGGCCCTTGTTTTCATTTGCCATTTCTCTGTGGGTTTTTTGCTTTGTATTTCTATACTGGCTCAGACTGTAAGATTATCCTGGCTCATATATTTGCTGTCTCAGTGCTAATCTCAGCCATCTCTTCAAAGAAGAAACGCTTTGCTGGCTCTCTGCTGCCCCACACGGGGTTTCTCTAGTCGCAGTGAGCACAGGCTACTCTTGACTTGCTGTGACCGGGATTCCCGTTGCAACGGCTTCTCTTGTTGGGGAGCTTGGGCTCTAGAGCATGCAGGCTTCAGTAGCTGTGGTGCATAGGCTTAGTTGCCCCTGGGCATGTGGGATCTTCCAGGACCAGGGATCGAACCCATGTCCCCTGCATTGGCAGGCAGATTCTTTACCACTGGAGCACCAGGGGAGTTTCCTGTTCCCTTTTACTAGAGAGAGAATGATGTTAAAAACATATATGTCATAGCTAAATATGCTCATCTGACTATACATGTATTCCAATTTATCTTTAAACATATTCAGTTAAAGGTAATTTATGATGATGTCTGCAACCTGATCCATTGTAATGTGATGTGGATATTGTAATGTTTTTGTCTGTAACTTCCCATTCTGAGGGTAAGATAGCTGGCTTCCACCACTTGTCATATATTGAATTCAGTGTTTGTTCCGTGTGATTACTGATACAGCAGTTTGTTTTTTAACTACTGCTGTCTATGGGAAAGAATTTACAGAGTGCACTGTTTATTTATGGTATAGATTGCCTTTGACCAGAAGATTATGTTCATTTCCAAAGTTGACTTAGGTCCACCTATTTTTTTCCTGTCACCAACAAAGAGTGAGTTTTATCCACCCATTTCTAAGTCATTTAGACTCTGTTGCATTCTGTATTCCATTCTGTGACATCCTCATATCCTAAATAACTAAATTTGAATACATTGTGATTTACTAGTTGAGGTCTAAAGACCTATGGGTTTATACAAATGCGCAGTGGCAGATATTCATCTGTAAAGTATCATATGGAATATTGAACCTCCTACCTCATAACCTTTTTCCAAGTCTGTTTTGTGTTTTTCATATAGTCATATAGTGTATGTATATATTGGATTCTTCCATTTAGCAATATACATGTAAGATTCATCCATGGCTTTTGCTTGGTTTGATGGTTTGTTCCTTTATATTTCTGAATAGTATTCCATTGTATGTGTGTTGGAGGAAAAATATTCCCTTTACATTTCTCTTTTCCTCATTGAGACCTTTCCCTACAGTGAAAGACAGATGAACTGGAGGAAAACAATTAGAAGTTTAATAGCGTGCATACCACCTGTATACTTGTAAGGTACCAAGGAAAACGGAGTCATTTCCTGAAAGGGTTCAAGCCTATAACTTATGTGCTATCTTTAGATGAGAATAAAAAAAAGATGGTGGTGGTGGGGGGAATAATTTGAGAGGTTTTGAGGCAAAGCACAGTAAACAAGGGTCTGGATATTATGCAGGTTTACATCCAGGCCTTCTCCATGGACAAGCTTCTCTTAAGACTTAGTTATCCTTCCATTTCTGATACACAGAGGGAGACATCCTTCCAAGTGGAGATTTCCCTCATAAATGTAAAAAAAAATCCCTAAAAGGGCATTTTCAAACTGCTCTGCTGCAGGCTCACAGTCTCAGGTTTTATGGTCATTGCATTAGTTTCTGGTTTGTCTCTGGACAGTCATAGTGAAGTGGGGTCCTTCCTGGGGGCACAAGCATCACGCAGCCAAGGTGGATTCCAGCAAGGAGGATCCTAGGAGGTTGGGAGGACCTATGGATTTGAGTCTCCTATCTCCTTAGACCTTCTCTGAATTCTTCTGGTTGGTGGTGGCTTGTTAGCTCCTTATTCCTTGTCAGGACCTCCTGTAAGATGACTCCTGCAAGTGGCCCCTCTGGTGCCTGGCAAGGGTGGGTGGTTTTGATTAGTGGTTCCCCTAGCAGTTTGTCTTTTGTTTTCTTGAATAAGGTCCTTCACAGAGTAAATGTATAAATTCTTAAAAGTCAATCTTTTAATTAATTAAAAAAATTTGTAAATAGGCTTTTTTGTGTGTTAGAGCTCATCACCAGACCCAAGATCGTGTAGGTCTTTTGTTGTTTTCTAAGATTTTTATAGCTTTTTAATTGAAGTGTGGTGTCAGTTGTAAAGTTTGTGTTTATGTTCCTTTCATTCCATTTTGTTTTTAGTTAATCGTCCCTTAGTCGTGTGTTGAGTAGGGTCGAGGAGATACTTGGTTCTGTTTCCTTTTGGGTTTCCAGTCTTCCTGTTCGCAGCAGAGCTGCACGCAGGATTGGGCCTCTCGGGTCTGTGAGCGCGCTGCTGCCCCGTCTTCTCTGGTGGCCCATAGCGGGCGCCAGACCCACTTCTGACCCATGGGGCACAGGCACCCGTTCTGGACCCAGACTCGGCTCCGTGCGCAGCTGACAGGAGCTTTGTCTCCTCAGGACCGTCAGGGCTCAGGCTTCTGGATAACGGAGCCGTGTCCACGCTGAGAGGAGTGGGACTGCCTCAGTGCCCACTAGCAAGGAAGCGCTACAAGAGGGGAAAATGACGATGAAGTAGACGTTTCCTGTGTCCAGCTGAGTGCTGCTAGGCAGGTCCCCCTCAGAGACTCAGGAGGGACAGCGCTCCATGTGGAAATTGGTGGCTGTTTAGTTCGATTTCTGTGTGATATAGACCAGGGATGTTCTTAAGTGCAGGGTGGCCAGTTTTTTTGGCACCGTTTCTTGAGAGGACTGTCCTTTCCTCTCTGGTTGTTCTTGGCTTGATTTTCATGAACTGACCATGTACATGTGGGTTCATTCCTGGGCTCTCTATTTTTTCCTCTAGTCCGTGTGTCTGTGTTCATGCCAGTTCCTCATGTGGTGGTTACTACCGCTCCTTGATGTAGTTTAAAGTCGGAGAGGAAGCTGCCTCTAGGTGTGTTCTTTCTCAGTCTTTTTGGCTGTTTAAGGTCTTTAGTTGTTGCAGACTTATATTAGGAATGTTTCTATTTCTATGCAAAATGCCACTGGATATTATATTGTGATTGCAGTGCATTTGCTGATGGCTTTGGTTGGAATGGACATTTTAATAACTCATTCTTCCTGTGTATGAGTGTGGAATATGTTTCTGTTTGTGTTTTCTTCAGTTTCTTTACCAGTGCTTTCTAGTTTTCTGTCTACTGGTCTTTCATGTCCTTGGTTAAGTTTGTTGCTGGATGCTTTATTCTTTTTCATGCAATTATAAATGGAAGTTTCTTAATTTTTTTTTCTGATTATTAGTGTATCGAAATGCAACTGATTATTGTGTGTTGATCTCAAATTATTCAAATTTCCTGAATGTATTCTAACAACTTTTTGTGAAGTTATGTGGAAAATTTTGTTTGTAAAATCTGTTTCTCCTGCAGTAGGTCATCCAGAGGACCCGTAATAAGCTCTTCCCATAGTGCTTCTTCATAAATGTGGACTCCTACAAGGACAATGAGCATTATAACTTCCCTTGAAGTTAATCTGGGTAAGTCTTGGCCTCCATAAGAAAGTTTCTTGCCTGTCTTATCTGATTTCTTTTTGTGATATTGACATGGTTGTTTTGAAAAATAATTTACTTTTTAGTAATTTAAAATGTACAGAAAACTCCTAATAATGGTAAAAAGTACTCATATTTGCCACATCACCTAAAATACTCAATGTGTTTTATCCAAAATGGGTGCATTCTCCTGTGGAATATATCATATTTTAGAATTTGAAATAGCTCAACTGGAATTCCATCACCTTCACTAGCTTTGTTTGTAGTGATGCTTCCTATGTCCTATTCACTTCACATTCCAGGATGTCTGGCTCTAGGTGAGTGATCACACCACCTTGGTTATCTGGGTCATGAGTATCCTTTTTGTATAATTCTTCTGTGTATTGTTGCCACTTTTTCTTAGTATCTTCTGCTTCTGTTAGGTCCATACCATTTCTGTCCTTTATTGTGCCCATCTTTGCATGAAAAGTTCCCTTGGTATCTCTAATTTTCATGAAGAGATCTTTAGTCTTTCCCATTCTATTGTTTTTCTCTGTTTCTTTGCATTGATCACTGAGGAAGGCTTTCTTATCTTTCCTTGCTATTCTTTGGAGCTCTGCATTCACATGGGTATATCTTTCCATTTCTCCTTTACCTTTTGTTTCTCTTCTTTTCTCAGCTATTTGTAAGGCCTCCCCAGACAACCATTTTGCCTTTATGCATTTCTTTTTCTTGGGAATGGTCTTGATCACCACCTCCTGTACAATGTCATGAACTGCCGAACTGCTGTCCATAGTTCTTCAGGCACTCTGTCTATCAGATACAATCCCTTGAATCTATTTGTCACTTCCACTGTGTAATCATAAGGGATTTGATTTAGGTCAAACCTGAATGGTCTAGTGATTTTCCCTACTTTCTTCAATTTAAGTCTTAATTTAGCAATAAAGAGTTCAAGATCTGAGCCACAGTCAGCTCCCCATCTTGTCTTATTGTACGTATAGTCTGTGCCATTTTCCATATCCACAAGCGAAGAGTAAGGCTTTAAATTTTCTACATTGCTGTTAATATTTTGTTCTTGATTATAATCATTTAGTGAATGTGACCAAGTATTGCACTGTGATTTTAATCTGCATTTCCGTCATCACAGAAAGGAAACACGCCTGAGAGGGTCTTCTCATAAACTCGGACCTCAGCGCCCTGCTCAGTAGGCACAGCTGCCGCATTAACACAACTACCAACAATCACCCTAAAAACAAGCCCCCAAGCCATCCATCAAAGTTCATTAGCATGTCACAGCCAGTAATAAAGCCAAACTCACTGCAAATCAATGAAGGTTTTGAAGGAAAACCTTATAAAACTGACAACAGAAATGGTACTTAAAATACAATGTATGTCATCAGAATTCTTACATGGACTGGAATCATGGGAATGAAATGAAAAATCATCTTGGTGTTTTGACTGTAAGAACATTAATAACCAACATTTGAAAATTCAAGATGTTAATCAAAATTGTTTATAGTGCATTTATTGATCTACCATGTCCATCAAATATCTCATCATAATAAAATTCCCTAGTTTGCTTTGCATTTGTTTAATTTTGCAAATGAAATCATGACATTTATTTCTAGGAATTCATTATACATCAAGCACAATAACTGTCTTATTCATAAGCCATATGTACCAATATGTAAACAATCTATGAATTATTTGTTATTTACATGAAAATGGAGGTTCTGTATTCTTTGTTTATCTATTCATGTAGCACCTTATTAGAAATGTGAAACTTTAGAATTATCCTACTGTTTAATAGCCATAGTATTTATATGTCACCTGTTACAATGAGTTTAAATGTCCTTTGAGGAGAAACAGTTACTCCAAATTTTGTTTTAACCATTCCTCCCATTGGCACTAACTTTGTCAAAAGAATCAGAGGAGGATTCTCAATTGATAAGATTGCCCTCATTTGATCATTTGCCTTCCACTTTATCCTCCCACTTTTTTAATTGCAGCTATAGCAGTGAATTCCCTACTGTTCTTTGATGAAACAAAGTCTAGTAAATATAGTCCCTTGTGGTCTTCTTATAAGAAACTTGTGATTACACTGAGCTCACCCGGTGATCCAGGTGGCTCTCCATCACAAGATCCTTAATTCAGTCTCACCCACAGGCTTCCGGGATTCGACACGGATGTTTGAGGGTGCAGCTTCTCAGCTGACCACACCCAGTGTCCACAGACGGGGCACGAATGAGCAGGTGACTAGCGGAGGGTGTGGCTGACGTGCTTCTGTTTGGCTTTTGATACAGACCTCCACTGATGGATGCTCTTTGTGAAGCAAATGGCACTTTTCCCATCAGCTTATTGAAAATGCTGAGTGAAGAGGACCACTTGTGAAACGTGTTCTCTCCACTGAGCCTTTCCTCTGTCCTGACCGTGGTCTTATTGGGGGCTGAGGGAACACAGTGGCCCAGATGTCCCAGGTGTGTGTTCTCATAGAGCTCATCTGTTCTTACCTCATATCGGCTGATGGAAGCCAGTGAGGCCGAGAGGTGGGAGAGGCACCGAAGTGACACAGAGAATGCAGACCTGAAAGTGGCAAGAATTGTGTGAGATGAAACCTCCTGCTAGAGTTCATGGTATACACTGAGTGTTATTTGCTACATCTTTGATAAGCAAGGGAAATTACAACTCTATTCCACAAAAAAGCCAAGAATTTCAACTTGTTCTATTTTGAACTTTTCCTAATGTTGTATTTGAAATGAAAATGTAACCATGTAAATGAACTTTTTGTTTAATGTGTTGTTTCTAGTATAAGGTTATGCATAAGTGGAAAAAGTGCAACACAAATGGGTACTTATGTCTTCTGGAATTTTTTAGATATAATCTCTATATCTATCTATCTATCTATCTATCTATCTATCTATCTATCTATCTATCTATCTATCTATACATACACAGTATAGGTCAGCCACATATATCAGTTCAATTCAGTTGCTCAGTAATGTCCGACTCTTTGAGACTCCATGGACTGCATCACGCCAGGCCTTCCTGTCTATCACTGACTTCTGGAGCCTACTCAAACTCATGTCCATCGTGTTGGTGATTCCATCCAACCATTTCATCCTCTGTCATCCCCTTCTCCTCCCACCTTCAATCTTTCCTGGCATCAGGGTCTTTTCTAATGAGTCAGTTCTTCGCATCAGGTGGCCAAAGTATTGGAGTTTCAGCTTCAGCATCGGTCCTTCCAATGAATATTCAGGACTGATTTCCTTTAGGATTGACTGCTTGGATCTCCTTGCAGTCCAATGGACTCACAAGAGTCTGCTCCAACACCACAGTTCAAAAGCATCTATCTATCTATATATATATAAAATCAATCAATACATAATCTGATTGACCTGACATGGTTTATATATGACTTTAGATACAAATGAAGTGGGTTTTCCAGGTAGCTCAGTGGATAAAGAATCTGCCTGCCATTTCAGGAGATGCAGGAGACCAGGTTTGATCCCTGGGTCAGGAAGATCCCCTGGAGAAGGAAATGGCAACCCACTCCAGTATTTTTGCCTGGAAAATCCCATGGACAAAGGAGCCTGGTGGGCTACAGTCCATGGTGGTCACAAAGAGTTGGATACGACTCAAGTGACTGAGTACACACACATGCATCGGTGAAGCAATGGCGACTACTTCAGGAAAGTAGACTCCCTGGTAGAAGTGTCCCAGAAAACATACACATATGTTGAAAATATACACATCATGTCCCATGAATACCATACACCTCATGTCCCATGAATACCAGGGTGCACTGACCCTCCTCAGAATCTGTCCCCAGCCCCAGCTGAATCCCGGGTGGCTGTTCCTTTCAGCTCCCTGGAGGAGGGAGGCTTTGGGCCGGGATCATTTGGAGATAAGGGAACAGCCTTAATTCTCTCTGATGTGACACTTAAATACAGTCTAGACTGCAGGACTTCTGTGGAATCCCTAGCGAGACACTCCCGTGTCTATTTCCGCTCACTCCTGTATTGTGGGGGTGACTCCATATCTGTTCCTTCTGTCCACCTCCCTGCTGAGTGGCTGCGTGCTGCCTTCCTGGAATAGATGCGCCTGCTGGAGCAGGGCTGTCCGTCCGCCTGGGGTCATTTTGCACCCCTTGGACAGCTGGCAAGGTCTGGACAGTTGGTTGTCATACCCGAGAGGTGCTGCTGACATCTAGTGGACAGAGGCCAGAAATGCAGCTAAATATTCTGTCATGTGCAGGACGGCCTCACAGCAAAGTGGTGGTGGTGGTGGTTTAGTCGCTGAGTCGTGTCCAACTCTTTGAGATCCCATGGACTGTACCCCACCTTGGGATTTTTGTCCATGGGATTTCCCAGGCAAGAATACAGGAGAGGGTTGCCATTTCCTCCTCCAAGGGATCTTCCCGACCCAGGGACTGAACCCACATCTCCTATGTCTCCTGCATTGGCAGGCAGATCCTTTACTGCTGAGACACTAGCTTTGCGGCCCCAAATGTCTATATTTCCAGGTTGAGTAACTGTGCTAGATGGTCGAACCAAACTACTTTTAAAATAGGGTCCTTTGTGATTTTCAGTGCAGAAATTTGTCTGGGAAGAGCTCTTTGAGGGAGAAAATGGCCTGTTATAAGTCGGTATTCCCGTCTTCTGTCACCAGGCGCTTTGTCTGAGTGAAGGTGGAGCTGTCCACCGAGGCTCGCCGTCACTCCTCAGGGAAGTGAGCACGCCGGCCCACAGGGCCTGCTCAGAACTGCCAGCAGACTCTTTGGGGAAAAGACGCGTGATTTCCTGCCAGTAAGCAGCGCTCCCACATCGACGTAAAAGACACTGAAAACAGAAGATATGGAAGAGCAGAAATACAGTGTAACTACTGCCTCAAACATGCGCTTAGGGTTACACTTCTGTAATTGAGAATTTTATGGTTGCCTCTGAACTGTGTCCTT